GTACATCCCGCACACCGATTTGCCGGCTAACTTCCTAACAAAGGTGCTGCACTATCCGGCCTTCATCCGGTGCTCCGTTGCAATCGGACAAGTGCGCCTCGCCGACATGGGCGGCAACGACGTGCAGTAGTAGGTGCCATGCCCTCTTGCATGGCTGGTGCGGTGACCGGCATGCTGTGTGTTGTGTTCACGCCGACGAGCTATTCTCCAAGAAGTGTAGCCGTGTGGGTCGGGGGCCCAAGCGTGAACGCGGCAGGGGAGTGTCAACGGGAGTTGTGTTGAGCCCCGTCCTCTCTTGGGCGGTGCCGACTTCGTGGTCGGGTGTGAGGGGTGCAGCCGACCTGCGGCAGTGGGCGAGCTGGTCGACGGGGCTAGTCGACCTGCATGGGGGCCACTGCAAGGGCGCTGACTTCAGGAGGGCGCCAACTTTTGGGAGTCGACTTGGTGATGCCGACCCGGGGAAGCTGACAGGTATGCTGGTCGACCTGGAGCTGGTCGACCAGGAGTGTGGTCGACCTGGAGCTGGTCGACCAAGGGTGTGGTCGACCTGGTGGGGTCAAACGAAGATGGTCGTCGACTTGGGTGGTCGACGGGCACATAAAGGAGCAGCTGGTGTCGACGTGGTTGCCCGGTCGACCAGGTTACCTGGGTGACGAGGTTCTGCGGAGGAGTGCGACGGTTGCCCAGGTAGTAGTGGTGAGACCGACCTCGGTGGTGGTATCTCGGGGTCGATTGGGCTAATCAGATGCAATCGTCAGCGCAAGAACGATTTGGTGTGTGCGCTGTGCAGGTGACAAGACACAGTCCGCCAATCATCTTCGAGCACCTGCGAAGCGAGTGCGCTGCGGTTGCATTGTTGGCGGGCCGCAATTATGCACTGTTGGAGCGCGGTCGACCAAGTCGTGTTGGAACGCGGTCGACCGTGCTGCGCTGGCAATCGTCCTGCTTGCATGCTAGCTTTGATGTGGTCTTGTCTTACCAACTTCATTGTACCATTGTTCTCACCTTTCCTTAGTGAAACTCTTGCCAAATTCTCCCGTGAACTAGCAAGTAGTGCACAAGGAAACGACTAAGCGAACGAACGCAGAGATCATTCCATTCCTGTGCGTAGCCCGTAGCCTAGCTCCCGTTGATTAAGTTATCTCTGCATCTTGTTGATGTGAGGCGTTTTTGTTTTTGTTTTCTTCGTCTTCGTCTTCTTCTTCTTCTTCTTCTTCTTCTTCTACTTCTTCTTCTTCTTCTTCTTCTTCTTCTTCTTCTTCTTCTTCTTCTTCTTCTTCTTCTTCTTCTTCTTCTTCTTCTTCTTCTTCTTCTTCTTCTTCTTCTTCTTCTTCTTCTTCTTCTTCTTCTTCTTCTTCTTCTTCTTCTTCTTCTTCTTCTTATTTCGAAATTCCGACTGTCCGATGTTGATTGTGCAGATGTGGTCGTGACGTTCTATGAGAACGGGTAGATGGACGCCGAGGGCGTCATTCGATGGCTTGACGAGTGCGTCAAGCCCTTCATAAAGCCCCGGTTCGGCACGCATGCGAGGAGCTCGATGGTCGTGCAGGATTCCTACCATTGTCATCTCACTAAGGGGGTGAAGGCGAAATTCCGCGAGCTCAATATCACCCTGGCAATCATCTCGTCGGGCTGTACGGAGGAGTTGCAGCCCCTCGTCGTCTCCATCAACAAGAGCGTCAATGTCTTTGTCCGGCAGCAATACCAGAAGTGGTTTGGAGAAGAGGGGGCAGCTAACAACAGAATGTATGGTATCAACGGACCATGCGCGAGTATATTACCCCCCCCCCCCCCCCCCCCCCTTTTTGTTGATGTAACGGCTGTCCTGTCAACGAGAGTTGTGTTTAGGCTCCGTCTTCGCTTTGGCGGAGCTGACTTTGTGGTCGGGTGTACGGGAGGTGTAGCCGACCTGCAGCAGTGGGTGAGCTGGTCGACAGGTTGGTCGACCTGCACGGTGTCACTGCGATGGCGCCGACTTTTGGAGGGTGCCGACTTCGAAAGGTCGACTTGGGAGGTCGACCTGTGGAGGGCGTCGAATTGGTGACGCCGATTTGGGGAAGTCGTCCTCGCGTGATTGGCTGACAGCTGTGCTGGTCGACCTGCAGCTGGCCGACCAGGAGTGTGGTCGACTAGGGGCTCGTCGACGAGGGGGTGTGGTCGACTTGCTGTGGTCGACCGGAGGAGGTCGTCGACCTGGGTGGTCAATGGGCACGAGGAGAAGCTGCTGGTTACGTGGTTTCCCGATCGACCAGGTTACACGGACGATGGGGTTCGGTGGAGGAGCGCGCCAGTCGCTTAGGTCGCTGTGGCGAGGCTGACCTCGGTGTAGTATCGTGAGGTCGACGTGGAGGATCAGGTGCAGACGTGGGCACGTGGTCGGTTAGGTGTCTGGGCTGTGTACGTGACAAGGCGTAGCACGCCAATCGACTGCAAGCACCTGCGAAGCGGGTGCGCTGCTGTCCTGCGGGTGCAACGACATGCAACCGCCTTGATGCAACGTTGGCACGCCGTCGACTTGCATCACTGGCAGGCCGCGACATTGCACTTCTGGCGCGCGGTCGACCTTGTCGCGCTGAAACGCAGTCGACCGTGCTGTGCTGGCAGTCGATCATCTTGTATGCTAGCATCTGATGTAGTCATTGTTGCCTTGCCATTGTGTACTATTGTTGTGAACTTGTGCTAGTGAACCCCTTGCAAAACATCCCTATGAATAAACAAGTAATAAGAGCACAAGTAAATGATTAACGAACGAACTCATGTCTTGCCCGTAGTTATCTCCGCACTTCCCTCGAGTAACCATTGGGATAAAATGGCTTGTTTGTAGCCGGCGAGTGCACCCATAACCCCCCAGGCCAACGTGTCTGTAACCCTTCCCTAGGATCAATCGGGGATCTCCAGTGGACCTTTGACACCCCCCCGCACCAGGATGCCGAAAGTGCACACACTGAGATTCGAACCCGAGACCTTCGCTCTGATGCCATGTCAGAATCCCAGCCTCATAATCCCTGGGATAAAAAGGCTTGTTTGTATAGCGGGTGAGTGCGCCCATAATCCCTCAGGCCAACGTACTTGTAACCCTCTTGTAGGATCAATCAAGGATCTGCAGTTGACCTCTAGCATCCGGGTCCATACGGTATATGTGAGGGGGTCTGTCTCGAGATGTGTGTGTCAGTTAGCTACCGTATCGCCTCCTCTTGAATCACTTTCTAGCACGTCGTAGATGAAAAAAAAAAAAAAAAAAATGCTGGAAGTGCTGGAATTATTCAATAGATTTTATTGCCTAGATGTAAAAAAGAGATAATATATCATAATCAGGAAAACTGTGTCAGTAATACGGTGTTATGGTATGTGTACAAGTATGAAACCATTATTTACATACTTGTTTCAGATATATGCAGCGTGAATTAGAAAGTAAACTCTTGCTACTATCGATGGATCTCGTGTGAGCGAAGCGCGACGACGAGGACCAAACCAAGAACCACAAATGCTGCTCGACTCAAGGATTTCTGACCATTGCCGGAGACCCCCATTTCTCCATTCTTGGAAACCAACTTGTTTAGGGTCTGAACTGACATACAATGGCTCTGAAGTTCAGCTTCTCCATTTTCACCATGGCGATACTAATTTGCCTTTTTGTATCCTTCTCGAATCTTGGGTAACTTCTTGAACCTCGTAATTGCTTTGGTTCATGCTTCTTCCTGTCTAACCATTTTGTACAGGGTCTCAGCCAAACGGCACAAGATCAAAAACCACAAGAATGTCAAACTTACACCGACAAGCCGCGTTATGAACTCTGGACCTTCCATGGTGTTTGATGCTGGGGTCGAGGATCATATGTCAATAGATGCAGACGGACGCGGATTTTACATCTTTGAGGACGACTCAGGAAGTACGCGTTTTCAACATGTAACACACGATTATCTGTTATTGCTTCCTGACATTGTAACTCGGATGCGTGGCAGCTGCTCGTGTGCGATCTTCATCACGTTATCCAACAGGGACTACATTCTCAGGAGACGTGATGATCCCTAGTGGTGCAACGAGTGGCATTGTGTCATCTTTCTACTTGTCCTCACTCGAAGGAAGCACAACGCAAGATGAGATTGACTTCGAATGGCTTGGCAAGAACAACATGCAGGTTCAGACGAACTACTACGTCAATGGGTAAGTTCCTTTTTCGTAACAAGCTGGTTTTTTTTTTTTTTTTTTTTTTTTGGGATAAGCAATAAACTGTTATGTTAACATTTCGTCAGAGTTGGTGGACACGAGCTGGTCGTTGACCTAGGCTTCGACGCCAGCCAGAGCTTTCATACCTACGCCATTACATACGACGATGACAAGATTCAGTGAGAAAACGTTTTCTCGTCCTGCTGTTCTTGACGTTCCTACGGTAGGGGCGTTGCTGACGCATTTCTATTTACAGATGGTTCATTGATGGCGAACTCGTGCGCAAGGTGTTGAAATCCACGAGCAGCAGCTTTCCCTCTATGAACGTCTATTTATACTCCAGCTTATGGAACGCTTCTTTCATCAACGGTGGCTCGTGGGCTGGAGTTAACAGTGATCCTACAAATGCCGCTTACACGATTGCTGCCAAGAACATCAACATTCAGTAAACCTGGAGAAGATCAAACTTACCTGTTGTACGACTATTTATAGTACCCGTATGTATAATACAAAGCTCTTGGGGTTGTATAATCTCAGTAAAGATCCATTATTGCTCGTTATCACATGGGAAACCTGACCACAACACATCCATGGTATGATTCTTGCACCAGGTAAAGGTCACAGCTTCTTCATCACAGCTTTGAAGGGTCAAGCTCAAGCACCTTTTAAATTGTGAGGCCCTGCCCTGCTATGCACGACAGGAGAGGTAGTCCCACAAAGAGGCTTTTGCAAAGAAACTGTGCCCAGGTTTGCACATGTAGCTGTTGCAGCATATCAACAAATGTATAGCTGAACAGGCTGCTCTATTGTGTATCTTCTCTACTACTAAACCCTCAGTGATCAACCTCAGGTGGAGGTGTTGAGGAAGAATTCATAGTCTTCCATGCATCTATCCAGGTAACCATGGCTTCTGCCAGCTTGTTAAGAGATGAATCAGCTTTGCCAAGCTTCTCCTTCACCTGAGAAGTAGAAAGAGTAGTTCCAGACGGAAAAAGGTCAGGAAGAAACACAGAGACAGAGCAGGAAATTACTGCAGCCTCTACTCACCTGTTTGGCGATTTCCAGGTAGCATGCCTCCACCGTTGTAGCTTCAGCAGGTAGCTGCATGGATTGGAAGAATGGTACAATCTCCTCTTGCCAGAAAATGCCCTTGTACTCCTTCCTGCACAAATGAAAACATCAGCATGCCAGCGCTTGGCAGGATTACCAAAAAAAAAAAAAAAACATATACGAGCACTACCTCAAGCAGGCGAACGCATTTCCGGATTTCTGCCTCCAAACGTAGGGAAGCCCTGATTTCACACCGTACCGCAAATGGTCGCATATAACCTGGAGAACAACATCCCACATCAAAATAATATTGACAGTACACAGCTACAATATTTCAAAGCAGCTACTTACCTTCGAGCACCATCCAGCCCACATGTCATCATGAAAGCCGAAAGGTTGTCCTTCACCAATGGGAGGAAAGTACATCGCGGGGCCAATGATCTCACGGTCAAAAGCGAGGTTGAATCCTGACATAGGAAACAAAACACCCTGCAAAATGCACCATGTCAGTTGGTCCTCCAACCCCAGTAGTAAAGCTGGAGAACAATGCAGAAACAGTAAGTAGCAATGTTACTTTGGGAATGGTCTGCACGCAGTCTACATAGCGAAGATTGCGCTCGTTCGGCTTGACAAGCTGAGTCGGGGCATCGTAGTCGGGGTTATTCAGCCAGAGACCGTGAGATATTACAGTCCTGACACCCTCCCGCAGACTGCAAGACACGCACAAACGTGAGAACATTTTAAGTAAACGAATATGAAAAAAAGAAGGAAATCGTGCGCATACCTGAAAGGATAACCACGGACAAAATCCGTGGAGTCCTCAAACGGGTCGCAAAGAGTGTTAAAGTGAAGTGGTGTTGCTGGCCTCTGAAGATTCTGAATGTGCTTCAGCACCGGATCCAACTCCAATCCTGGAGCTGGAAAGCCTTTCAAACGGTAGCAGTCGTCGGCCAGCGTGTAAATGAACCTCTTCTTCGAGATAAGCCACCCAAAGCATCGGCACGCACTGTTGAAGATCGAGAGAGGGAGAGGCAAAGAGAGGGAGAGGCGAAGAGAGGGAGAGGCGAAGCGAGGGGGAATGGAAGCGAGGGGGAGGGGGAGGAAAAACGAGGGAGGGGGAGGGGAAGCGAGGGAGAGGGAGGGGAAGCGAGGGAGAGGGAGGGGAAGCGAGGGAGGGGGAGGGGAAGCGAGGGAGGGGGAGGGGAAGCGAAGGAGGGGGAGCGAGAGAGAGGGAGGGGGAGCGAGAGAGGGAGAGATAGCGAGAGAGAGGGAGTGAGAGAGAGGGAGAAAGGGAGAGAGAGAGAGAGAGGGAGAGGGAGAGAGTTTCACACCAGTGTAAGCTTACGTGACAGCAACCTGTTTGGCAGAAGTATCCTGAGCTCACCTGTCTTTCGACGAAATGCATGCAGAACGGTTTCCCAGCATCCGCTTGACATCGCTCCTTGTGAACGATTCAACATCAAGCCCAGGTGGTGCTCTCAGCTTCGCGGATGCCTCAGGACCCGTCTGAACCACGATGATGTGGTACGGCCTCAACACATCGTACCACGACTGGAAAAAATCGCTACTCTCTCCACTAGTTGCAAGAACGACATCGATTTCGCTTGAGTGGGGAACCAGCGCGACAGGTCCAGGTCCAGACGACTTACTCATCTTCGAATGCAGATTCTACGATTCACAGGAAAAACTCGTCAGATGTGCCATTCTTTGATGAAGGGAGCGTCATAAATCAGCCAGGAAACGTCCTGTCCTCCGGTGAAGATAATGCGCGCTGCGAAAGCCATCGGAAGCCCTATTGATGTGACTAGTTGCTGACGGGTGACTCACAAATTTGTGCACGCTGTTGCGAAACCCTTTCGGGCCATGTCATATGTATTCGTTTTTGCTCGAAACCTTCCAGACGTAATGAACATGTCGGACACGCACAACATCGCACTCCACCGCAATATACTGAATTGTGACACGCCGTTTGTCTCGTTCTATTTTGTGATGCGACACAGCAAGTGGAGTTGCTAAACCGAAGAGTGCGCGGAAGTCAATATCGAAGAGTGATCACAACTTCCACCAAGGCGTGGAACATTTCCGACCAAATGATTGGGCCTCGCGAATGCGAAGGGTGTGTAAGGAAAATTCCTTTTCCTTACTTCGCGTCCCCGCAACAGCACCCAACGGTAATCCGTTACCACTCGCTTCGACACTATTCCCGCCACTATTCACGACGCGAACCAACCTCACGGTTCGGTTGGTAACCCGCGCTCCGGACCTCCCGCCTCGACAATTCCCAACCTCGGCGCTAGGCCCGTCGCGCACCCCATTTTCCACACATTACCATTACCACTGTAGTTTCGCTATATATTCTTCGCTTATACCTTCACTCATTGTACTGTTTGCTTCGATAGTGCAATCTCGCTCGCTCACTCAATTGCACTCGTAACACTTGGTATTCAGAGCCTACAATCTCTTCTCGGACCGCACCCACACCTTCGCTTCCCCACTATCTCAATTTTTAGGGGGGTAGACGTCTCTCAGCGACACAACACCGCCGCTCGTAGTGCTCTCTCGTAAGCACGCACGGCTACGACAGAGGCTCTCGCTGAGCTTGCCCGACACCCCCGCCATGGCCGAATTCACTCTCGCGACACTGTCGCAGGAGCAACTCGACCGTCTCGTGCGCCAAGTCGAAGATTCGGCGCTCAAAATTGCGACGCTCACAGCGGTCCGCGCGTCAGCAATCCACGGTGAACACTTCAGCGCCACCACACGCACCTGCAAATGCACCCGCACAATCGGAGGAGCCGATCGTCATATCATCAAGCACACCGACACAAAACGACAGCGTGGGACAACGCTCAGGCGCAGCCAGTGATGGCGCCGTTCAATCAATGCTTGGCATGGAAAGGAACAGGGTCGCGCCGAGCTCGCGGGAGCCCCGTGAAGCACGTCGGCACGTGGAATTTGCGGCGGCAAGTGGCGACCACGCCATCATGGCACCAATGCCACTCAAGCTGCAGCGCCCGCCCTGCTTCGACCCGAGCCAGCGTGGAGGTCCGACGGTTCAGTCGTAGGTTTTTACGATGAACGTCTTCTTCGACGCGAATTACGTCGAGTCGGACGCAGCGAAGATCAGATATGCCGTCTCGCTGCTGAGGGGCCCCGCCATGGACTGGTGGCGAGTCATCGTGACGTCGCCACGCGCTTACGAGCCGCCGTCGCAAGAGGAAGGTCCCACGGGTCCAGCCGTCTCCTGGAGTTCCGCCCAGTACAGCACGTGGGATGCGTGGTGCGCAGGGCTTCGGGCGCGCTTCGAGCCGATCGCGGCTTCTATTTCGGCGCGTCAGAGACTGCGTACTTGGCGGCAGCTCGGGTCGGTTCAAGACTACACGGGCGGTTTTCTTGCATTATGCGAGCAAGTCGGCTACATGCACGAAGCGGAGCAGGTGGACCGTTACGTCGGAGGGCTGAAGCCGGACATCTCGCACGAAATCATGCTACGCGGGCTCTCGAATTTCAACGAGATTCTCGCGCTCGCCGAGAAAATCGACATTTTGCGCCGTCCAAGACCGGGGTCCTATTACGGACATCGCCCTCGGGGACCGATCGAGCACGCCACCGTACATGCCGTTGCGACGAATGCAGCTGCCGCGCCGTTTAAGGGGCGCTGCTTTGCTTGCAATAGGCCGGACCATCGCAAGAGTGAGTGCCCAGAGGAGCTGAGGCGCCGCGGAGCAGAGCAGGGGAGGGAGTCTCCAAGGCAGGGAAACGCCAGCAGTCAGTAGGAATCGGGCCAACTACTGACGAGACTGCCTGCTCGCCCAACCCCACCGACCCTCACCGAGTCACAATACCGATTCATGCTATCGATCGGGCTCGGACGAATAAGGAGGGTACAGCGACGGATTGCCCAGTACTGATCCACGGGAAAATACAGGGAGCAACAGTGAAGATTTTTATCGACGGAGGAGAAAGTCACAGTTTAGTTAATACCGCAACCGCACGGAAACTGCAACTTACACTTAGCCGTTGTTTACCTGAGATAGATGCACGCTTAGTCGACGGCACGCCACTGGCCATACGGGAAAATGTGGAGAGAGTCAAAGTCCGCTGCGGGGGGAATTTCGGGTTTACACAGGAAATGCTCGCGACGACACTGGATGGGCACGACATCTTACTGGGACGTGATTGGCTGCGACGATATAATCCGCGAATTGTTTGGACGACGGGTAGCTGCACTGTGCGAAGTAGCGGTAACTGGGTCGAACTACCTCGCTGGCAGTCGCCCGAGTCTTCAACGGTACACGTCAACGCCGTCACCATGAAACGGGCTGTCGCTGCTGGAGCTGACGTGTACGCAGTAGACATTGCAATGGTAGAGGGAGCAGAGCAGCCGAGTGATTTCAAGAAACTGCTGGCAGCGGTACCGCCTGAACTACAGGAACCGTTGAAACGATACCCGGGGATTTTTCCCGACGACTTACCGGAAGGACTGCCATCTCAGCGAGCACATGACCACCGAATAGAATTAACCCGGGTGTCAAACATTTATGCTGTAGTCTGTCTAGGCTGTAGTGGGGTAGACACTATGGGGTAAGTTTCCTAACTCATATTTGTACCCAACTAATTTCCTAGTTCATCATTCTTCGCTATTCTCTTCACATGGTATTCTGAGCAGGTTCCCTAGTGGGAACTAATTTTTTCAAGGGCCCACCGATTTTTTTTTTAGCCTGCCCGAATCGCGCTTCGCGCCCTGCCCTAAACCTCGCGGCCCCCTCGCGGCCCCCTTAGCGGCCCCTTCGTGGCCCCTCTTAAGGCCCCTCGCGGCCCCTTCGCGGCCCTTCGCGGCCCTCTCACGGCCCTTCGCGGCCCCTTCGCGGCCCTTCGCGGCCCCCCTCCTGGCCCTTCGCGGCCCCTTCGTGGCCCTTCGCGGCCCTCTCACGGCCCTTAGCGGCCCCTTCGCGGCCCTTCGCGGCCCCCCCTCCCGGCCCTTCGCGGCCCCTTCGTGGCCCTTCGCGCCCCCTTCGCGGCCCTTCGCGGCCCCTCTCACGACTCTTTGCGCCCTCCCTCGCGGCCCCTCCCTGCGGCTCTTCGCGGCCCCTTCGCGGCCCCTCCGCGGCTCTTCGCGGCCCGCCGTAGCCGCCCTGCCGCCCCGTCGTCGCCGCCCCAGCAGCAGCTGCCATTTGCCGCCGCCGCTGCTGCCGTGATAGCCGCCTCCACTGCTGCCGTGACGGCCGCCGCCGCCCCTGCTGTGACGGCCGCCGCCGCTCCTGCCGTGCCAGCCGCCGCCGCAGCTGCCGTGACAACCGCCGCCGCCGCTGCCGTGATAACCGCCGCCGCCCCTGCCGTGACGGCCGCCGCCGCCCCTGCCGTGCCAGCCGCCGCCGCCCCTGCCGTGACAACCGCCACCGCCGCTGACGTCGCAGCCGCCGCCGCCGTCCCGGCCCTGCTCTGCAGCCGAGCCGCGGCTCTGCCCTGCCGCCCTGTCGCGGCACTGCTCTTGCCGGCGCACCTCGGCCCTGCCCCACCACTCGCGGGCTTCTACCCACCCGCTCCTGGTAAGCGCACCGCCGAGCCGCACCCCTACTGCTGCTGATACTCCTAGCCTGCTTCTGCTGCTGCTGCTAGCCTGCTGCTGTCATGGCTAGTCCTACTGTCCTTACTTTTGATGCTGAGGGTCGAGCAGTAGACTTTGAGGTCTGGAGCGATGACCTGCAGCTGTTCCTGCAGTGCGATAGCAAAGACGGCCTCTCACTGTTGGATCTCACGTCTGGTGCCTCTGCTGCCCCTGCTGCCGATGCTGACAGTACTGTTCGCTCACAGTGGACCACACGCGATGCTGCTGCCCGTCTTGCTGTGCGTAGTCACCTGCCGTCCACTGAGCGCGCGCACTTTAGTCAGTACAAGAGTGCTAAGACCTTGTACGACGCCGTAATCGCACGCTACTCCTCTCCTGCCACTGCTGCCCTTAGTCGCCTCATGCTGCCATACCTGTTCCCTGACCTCGCCGCCTTTGCCACAGTCGCTGACCTCAATACGCACCTCCGCACTAGTGACACCCGCTACCGCGCTGCGCTTCCTGCTGAGTTCTGCGCCAAGAACCCCCCCCCTATGTACATCACCCTCTACTATCTAGTCACCCGACTCCCTGACTCCCTTCGCTCGGTCAGGGATCACTTCCTCTCTCTCTGCCCCACCACACTCACCGTTGACCTCCTCAAGGAGTGCCTCCTTGCAGCTGAGAAGAGCATAGTCGCTGTAGGAGCCTCTCGTGGTGACCCTCGTGCCCCTTTCTTTGAGGGGTGCTCCCCCGTCCCCCTTTTGCCCTCTGTTGCCTCTGCTGCCGCTGTCGACTTCGTTTGCACTGAGTCGGTCGGCGCTGCGTCTACCCCTAGCGGGAGGCGCCGCACCGGCAAGGGGGGCAAGGGTGCTGG